TAAATTTCACTGGAGGACTGGTAATATACCAATGTACAACGATCTAGAAATTATTTGTACTATACAGGTGACAATTTAAGGGACAAATCATAAAAAGTATACATGTTAATCGATAGCCGCGTATGTGTATAGGGTACTCCACTACTGTACGTGCATATTTATTCTGAAATTCCGGAACGAGGATAATTATTTTTAACTATGAGAAAACAATTGTTTCACTTCGCTAAATTTTAAGAGAAACGACGTACATACATAAATACGAATGTGAAATCGCCAAGGTATTATAGTATCCTTAAAGTTGCTTGTCGTGTCCGATCAACGAGGAAGAAATTGTCTCCTTCACGCGCACCTTCCATTCTATTAAACCCGTTGATTTATCGTAGAGAAAAGTTACCGAGGGATTTTGGAAGAAAATAATTTAGCTGTTCGGGAACCCTGTACAGTATTACAGTGTAGAATGCAACTAGTCATTTATAACTCCACGACGACTAAAATAAATCTTTTACAAAGGGAAACACGGCATATGAAGAGTGTATTGTTTTAAGTTACGCTGCAATTGAAGAGGATAAAAAACGGTAGTAACGTTCTCGTCCAAGGAACAAATGTCTCCATGCTCCTATGTTTTCATTAATTTCTTCCGTTATTATGAAACTTATACATTGTTATGGGCGGAACGTAATCGTTATCAGCTGTCATATTAGTTTTCTTTTTTATTTCTATATCTGTCTGCCTCTGAATGCGAACTATCGTATAAACGTTATTGACGGTAATCTAAGTCTTGCGCACGATAATTCTATTCGTAAATCTTATAGGTATGTCTCGATAAAAGCGGAAATACACGTTGTAAGTTCAAGTACCCGGGAAGCACAACGATAAAACCTATTTGTATCGAAACAGTCAAATGAAATGATATTACACATTTCAACGAAAATCTATGACTCAATCTTTTTACTCTTCCTCCATCAATCCCAATAATATTTAATGCGGTTCATTTATACATTTTCTCTCTTTAAAT